CTCCACATCCTGAGCTCAGGAGATACCCTCACCTCAGCCTCAGGAGTAGCTGGGACCACAGGCGCGCGCCATCATACCCGGCTAATTTTTGGTGTTATTTTATTTTTGTAGAAATGAGGTCTTGTCATGTTGCCCAGACTGGTCTCGAGCTCCTGGACTCAAGTGACCTTCCCGCCTCGGCCTCCCAAAATGCTGGGATTACAGGCATGAGCCACTGCACCTGAGCCCCATCCCCTTTGAGCCCCAAGTCCTTTTGAAAGTGTAGGTACCTCCCCTATTGCTTTGGATTTCTTTGTGATAAATATACCTGTTCCTAAAAGTTAAGCGTTCACACCAACAAGGAATTCAAATCAGGCTAAGGTTACTTCCAGAGCACTGGTCGTCAAACTTCCATCAGAACCACCTGAAAGGCTTCCATCAGAACCACCCGGGGGGTCAATCGGTGGGTCTGGTGTGGAGGCAGAGACTTACATGGCCAGTTCACAGGCGATGCTGACTGGCTGGTTGGGGAAATGCACTTAGAAAACCCTAAGTATATTTCTCTGATAAGCTAGTATTTTGTCTTGGTCTAAAGAGGACCAGTATCCCCAGAAGGGCAGAGGGGGCCTCTGAGTTCTCCTTGGTACCAGGGGCTCCTGCCTTTGCTTGTCAGGACATCCAGCAAGGCCCATGATGTCATCAGGCACCGGGACTGCCTGGACCCTCTCCACTGAGGCACCCACTGACCATATCCTGGAACCGCAACCTGGCACATGTGTGTGGGGGTGCAAGAGCATGGCTGGTGGCCCTGGTCCCCACCATGTTCACACAGCACAGGAATGGAGAAAGCAGACTCTTGGAGGAATGCATCCCCTGCACCAAAATCCAGCCCCATCCACTGGGGGCATGGCCCTGGCCCCACCTTCAGCAGCCCTTAGTGGTCAGAGGCGGCCATCCCAGGGGCTCCTTCTTCGGGGCCAGCCCTGGCCTGGTCTCAGCCCCTGTGTGTGAGGTGGTTGGGGGTTGTGATAGGTTAGAACCTCCACTTTCCCCAGCTGCCCCCAGAAGAGATGGGGAAGATGAAGGAGGGGGCCACAGAATCGTGCAAGAGCTGTGAGCGAGGGCAGGGACCACAGCCCTGTTGGCCAAGTCCTCCTTGAAGGGATCACTGTGGAGGCCAGGCGGAGCTCCTCAGAATGCTCCTCAGGAAAGAGGAGCTGCACACAAAGGGCCAACACACAGGAAAAGGCGCTCAGCACTGCTAACCATCAGAGAGCTGCAAATGAAACCACAATGAAATACCGCCTCACGCTTGTTAGGAGGGCTCCTGTAAAAAATAACAAGGCCTCGAATCCCACCATTTTGGGAGGCCGAGGCAGGAGGATTGCTTGAGTGCTGGAGTTCAAGACAAGCCTCGGCAACATAGCAGGAACCCTGTCTTTACTAAATAAATAAATACATAAATGAAAAAATCATGCCAGGCATCCCAGCACTTTGGGAGGCTGGGCTGAGCAGATCTCTTGAGCCTAGGAGTTCGAGACCAGCCTGGGCAACATGACAAAACCCCATTTCTACAAAAAAATACGAAAACTAGCAGGGCATGGTGGTGCATGCATCTGTAGTCCCAGCTACTTAGGAGGCTGAGGTAGGAGGATCGCTTGTGCCTGGGAAGCAGAGGTTGTACTGCACCGAGATCATGCCACTGTACTCCAGGCTGGGCGACAGAGGGAGACCTCATCTCAAAAAATAAACAAAATCACACATGTTGGCAATGATGCAGAACCTTGTACATGGTTGGTAGGAATGTGAAGTGCTACAGCCAACTATAGAAAAGAGTATGAAAATGCCTTTAAAAAATAAAGATAAAACTACCCTATGATTCAGCAATTCCACTTCTGGGCATATACCCAAAAGAACCGAAAGCAGAGTCTTAAGGAGATATTTGTACATCTATGTTCTTAGCAGCATTATTCACAATGGCCAAGAGATAGAGGCAGCACAACTGTCCATCCACAGACGCTGGATAAATAAAACGTGGTCAGGCCAGGCGCGGTGGCTCACGCCTATAATCCCAGCACTTTGGGAGGCTGAGGCGAGCGGATCATCTGAGGTCACGAGTTTGAGACCAGCCTGGCCAACATGGAGAAACCTCGTCTCTACTAAAAATACAAAAATTAGCCGGGCATGGTGGCACATGCCTGTAATCCCAGCTACTCAGGAGGCTGAGGCAGGAGAATTGCTTGAACCCAGGAGGTGGAGGTTGCGGTGAGCTGAGATCACGCCACTGCACTCCAGCCTGGGCAACAAGAACGAAACTCCATCTCCAAAAAAAATAATAATAATAATAAATAAATAATAAAAAATAAAACGTGGTCTATGCATACAATGGAATATTATTCAGTCTTAAAGAGGAAGGAAATCCTGTCACATGCTACAACAGATGGGCACTGAGGATATGACGATGTGAAGTGAAAGGAGCCAGTCACGAGAGGACAAACACTGTATCATCCACTTAAATGAGGGCCCTCGTGCAGTGAAATTCATAGAAAGTAGAATGGGGGTTGCCTGGTGTGGGAGGAGGTGGAAATAGAGGGTTGATTAATGGGTATAGAGTCTCAGTTTTGTGAAATGAAAATGTTCTGGAGATATTTCAGAACACTGTAAATGGACTTAGCACTACTGAACTATACACTTAAAAATGGTTAAGGGAAGGCTGGGCACAGTGGCTCACACCTGTAATCCCAGCAATGTGGGAGGCTGAGGCGGGAGGATCACTTGACGTCAGGAGTTCAAGACCAGCCTGGCCAACATGGTGAAACCCTGTCTTTACTTAAAAAAAAAAAAAAAAAAAAAAAAAAAATTCACACACAAAAAATTAGCTGGGCATAGTGGTGCACCTGAAGACCCAGCTACTTGAGAGGCTGAGGCAGGAGAATCGCTTGAACCCAGGAGGCGGAGGTTGCAGTGAGCCGAGATTGCACCACTGCATTCCAGCCTGGGTGACAGAGTGAGACTCCATCTCAAAACGAAACAAAACAAAAACAACAACAATAATAAAAAAAAAGAGTTAAGGTAGTACAAGTTATGGGTTTTTTACCATAATAAAATGAAAAGGGCAAGGAGGCTGCGAAAGCCATTTAGTCCTATCTTTCCAACTCACGGGTGAGGAAACTGAAGCCCAGAGACGAGCGTCTTTGCCCAGGTGCACAGCCCCGGCAGGAGTTCCATCAGGACAGGCTTGGCAGACTGGAAAGCATCCTGCAGGAGTGAAGCATACCAGTGCGCAGCTGGTCTTGGCTCTGTGCCTCCATCCTCAGAGGCCAGAGTCGTTGCTAGGTTTGAAGAGGGGGCCAAAGAGGGTTAAAATGTTCACACGTGCCAGGGGTACCCAGAGAGGCCCAAGTGGGTTATCTAGAAAATCCATTCAAAAGGAACAATTCCCTCGTGGTTGATGTCAGCTAACCCTCCCCAGCCACCTCTAAGTACATTGCAGGTATCTAGGAAAGGGCATCCAGGATGCTGGTTCATACTGTGGGCTCCAGGGCTGGGCTCATGATTCCTATCCCGGGGCCATCATTTCCTCTGTGTCACTTCTGTGTGCCTCATTCTACTCATCTACAAAATGGGAGAATAGTACTTTATAAGGTTGCTGTGAGGATGAAATGAATTAGACCATTTAAAGGCTTTAGAATCATGCCTGGCCCAGTCAGTGCTCAGCTATGAGCTCTCGTTGAGAGATGCTGAGAGTGTACGTCCATGCTCCAGGCATTTCAGTTCTCTGTTTATGACCCCACCTGGGGTCTGACAGTAGGCTATGCCATTGCAGGGGCAGGCAGCGTGGGTCTGGGGTGTGGGACCGTCTGCCTGGCTCCCGGAGTGTGGCCTGGTGTCTCCTGTCTTGGGTGTGGCTGGGCCAGAAGCACAGAAGCTGGGGGTAGGTTAGACAGCTCCAGGGCCCAGACCTCCAACTTACTTTGGCCTCCAGCTGACCCAGGACTGACGGAGAGGAAAGAAAGTGACTGCCACTCAAGAGAGGCTGTGGGGATCACAGCAGTGACACAGCCTCTTGTGCCCTTTTCTGACACCCTCCTGTGCCTGCCTGCTTTTCTCTCTTCCATCTGACTGTGCATGTTCTGGTATGTTCTGTGATTGCCAGTCTTCCCCCGGACATTTTCAGCCCAAGCACAGGTGTCCCCAGCGTGGGTGGAGGGCTTCATGCGGTCCCAGCCAGTCCACAGCTAGCCTGACCTACCAGCTGAGTGGCACCAAAGCCTCAGGCCAATAGGGAAGTCCCCACAAGGTGTCACCAGCCCAGTACACACTGATCCGACTCAGAAGCTGCTGTGCTCTCCGCCACCCCAGGAAGGCACCTACTGGCCTGGGCCCACATCCCTACAGGTCGGGAGGGGTTCAGCCACCACAAGACACCTTCCCAGCCCCACTCCGGGTCCTCAGAGGTCCTGGCCACCCCCACCTCTTCCAACTGTGACTGCTGCCCCTTGGTGAGAGCCTACCTAAGACCTGGGCTGCGAAACCCAGAGCTTCCATGGTCCCTGCCTGTACTTCCAGCAGATATCACCAATCCATCCTGTCACTGTCCCCCTGAGCACCAGGCGGCCTGGATGCTTTGCCTCTGAGCTGCAGGCTTCTACGAGACTGGAGGAGGCCACTGCTGGAGGCAAGGAGACCCAGGGGAGGACCTGCCCAAGGTGCCACAGTGAGGCAGCGGGAGAGCCAGCCTTGGTGCCATTCTTCCTGACAGCAGGCCACCAGCCACGGGGAGAGGGAGGCCTGGCTCATCCCCCAGTAACCCACAGCCCTCTGAATACTAAGGGAGGACTCAAATAGTCCTCCCCACAGCAAGTAAGTGGTGATGGCGGAGGTGGGGTGGCTTCAGGATTTGGGTTTAATCCCAAGCACGAGGGTGGGCAGGGGAAGGATTTGGTTTCATTCCTTCAGATGCCCAAGCCTTGGCCGGAGCCCCAGGGTGCAGGAGTGAGGGCGCGTGGCCACCCAGCCTGTACCAACAAAGCCTTCCTTTATTAAATAGAGATCGCGTTACATTCCATCCAAAGAAGGAAATCCGGACGTGGTGAGGGATGTGTCCAGGTGGGCGCCCTGAACCCTGGTCCCGAGTGGGCTCTGATGGGTGGGAGGGCCCAGGTCCTGCCTGCCCACCCAGGCCCCACATGCCAGGGCGCGTGTCTGCATGGCCACCCACAGCTGAAAACAGGCGTGGGCGATCTGAAGCCCTGTCTGTGTTCTACTGTGGGAGAAACTGCCCCAATCCTTCCAGCGGTTTTGGGAGCAGGGCCTCCAGGAGCACAGGGCTGAGATGGGGTGGGAGGGAAGGTGACAAGGGAGGCCTTTATGAAGGGGGAGGGAGGAAGGGGGAAAGGAAGGGACGGAGGGAGGGGGGGCCTGACTCATCTTAACAAGGCTTTGGGGCAGTTCTGTGCTCCGGAGGCCCTGCCAGCCCCTCCCAGCAGTCCAATAGGGAGGCCACCGGAAACAAGGCATGGGATGGCCACAAGGGGGCGCCGCTGGCCCAGGGCTTGGCAGCTGGGGCGGAGGGTACCCTGGAGATCCAGCCACCCCAAACAGTCCCTTTCTGAAGACATGCCGGCAACAAGGCACCTGCAGGCGGTTCTGGGGACTGGGGAGGGGGCGCTGGCTGCCTCAGGTGTCCCCTCCCAAGGGCTGAGGCCCCCTGAGTATGGATCCGAGCTCCGTGGTCTTTGGTGCTTTCTTGAAATCCTCCTGGTGGTGGCAGAACCCAGTGGGGAAGAGAGAGGGGTCTTGCTGTGAAGTCCAGGCCCGTCTGTCCCTCTGTCTGTCCCAGGATGGACATGTGGTGCTGGCTCAGTGCTGCCTCCATGGCCTGTCTGTCCATCCGTTCTGCCTCTGGCTCAGGGCTGGCTCCAGGCCTGTCTCCCTGTGTGTCGGCTTGTTCTGGGGTGGGTGTTTGCTCTGTCTCAGAGCTCCCCTTCAGGCCTGGGCTGTACCCTAAGCCTCCTGGGGGAAGAAGCCGAGCTTGGCCAGTGACATCTCCTTCCGCAGCCTCATGATCTCCCAGAACATGGGCTCTGCTGCAAGCAGAGAGAGGGTGAACAGGTCAGGGACAGCTCAGGGTCACCTCGGGCAGATGGCCAGGTCCCCTCCCGTGGCTTTGAACAGGGCAGCTGGCACAGCATCCTAGGATCCCCAGCCCCCAAAACAGATGACCTCAGCGAGTGGCTGGATCTCTCTGAGGCTCCACTCTTGAGCCTTGGAAACTGCTGAGTGCCGACCACACTCGAGGGATCTGTCTGCACCACATTGATGGCCACCCCCACAGCCCGATGCAGACACGCAGGCACACGCTGTCACATGCAACAGCGGTGGTCCAGACCTGGGAACTACATTAGACAAGGCACAGATGCCTCCCTGGGACCCTCTCACAAGGACCCTGCGCAGTGAAGGGGGGACCACAGTGGCCATCTGGGGACCTAACAGGCGTCAACACCCAGCGTGCCTTGGCCTCCAAGGGGACTTGACCCTCAGGATGGAGAGAAGACGGCTCCTTACTCAGAGGGTCGGGCCAGACTGGTTCAGAAGACTCAGCAGGGAGCAAAGGTTGGTGGAGGAGCAGGGAGCCAGGCCTTGCAGAATGGGCTGTGGGGGAAGGGGGTGGAGGGAGGCCCTGTCCAGCATGGAGTAGAGTGGGAGCAAAGGCTGGAGGGGGGCGAGCCTGTGTTCAGGTGACCAGGAGGAGATGGCCACACCAGGGCCAGGGAGAGATTCACAGGGATGGCCCCCTTGTGCAGGACCGGGAGAGGTTCGGTGGCGGAAGAAAGACCAGCCGGACAGACTCAGGTACACAGCTCAGCACCCAGGAGGATGGTGTGAACCCTTTACTAACCCACAGCCCTCCCCGCTCCCCAGCCTCCTAGCTGAGTCTTGCCTCTACTAGGGGCAGCTGGGCCCAGAGGCCACTTCCCCACCCAGCCCCACTCCCGTGTGCCATCCCTGCACCAGCCACCAGGGGGCGCTCACCGTCCTGCCGCACCAGGCCTTGCTGGATGTAGCGGATGTAGGTGAAGAAGTTGCACACTGCGGTGATCTGTGGGCAGAGGCAGGATGGTGTGACCTGCCAGCCCCACGCTCTGGGTCCCCTGACAGGTGGATCTGAGCCCAGAGCAGGAGGCCCCAGGTTCCCGCAAAGCCAGGCAGTGCTCCCTGACTCAGCTGGGACTGGGCTTTCAAGTAGTAATCAACAACAGCATGACTAGCACCGTTATAATAACAATAGCAGCAACCATTTCATCAAGTGCCTGCAGCGAATGAAGCAGACACGCTTATTATTCCATTTTACAAGGGGGAATGCGGAACCACCTGGGGGAAGCTGCTGACATCCATCATGGAGATGGCGGAGCTAATGAACCAGCATGCAGCAGAGCTGCGAGATGAACCGGGCAGCCTGTCCCGGAGTCTATGCTCACCCTTCTCACAGGCCGGCTTGCTCCAGATGCTGGAGGTCTGGGCCAGCCAGGCCTCAGTCCAGTGCTACTCATAACATTGGGAAAGGAAAGGGAGTCAGAAGCCACTCACCTGGGCTGCCCGGGGCCCCTGGAGCCTCAGGCCTGCTCCATGCCAGGCCCCGGGCACGCTGTGTTGGCTCAGACACTGCTACGAGGATTCATACCATGGAGAGGGTACTGTTGGTGCCTGGCCCAGGGCCCCTTCCCAGGCCTGCGCCCCATCTCCCAGCTGCTGGGCACTAATGGCTCAGAGGTGCCCCTCTCTGTACCTCCACCTCCTGTAGACCTCAGTCGATGACTGACTTGTGTGGAGATAGAAGTCACACAGTCCCCTTGCCTCAGGGTGGAACCAACTCTGCTAAGAGCCCGGTGGATGGGGCTGAAGCTGGGCTGCAGCTGAGGCCACGTCCTAGCTGGACTCCCCCGTCCCTTCCCTCATTCTCCTGAGAGCTGCACACAATCTCCTGGTGAGGCTCTGCCTCTATGGAACCCAGCCTAAGACAGGGTGGAAGGTAGCTGGCAGCTGTGCCTGCCCGCAACAGCCCCTACTGAATGTCCAACACTCCCGGGAGGGACGTCGAGTGAGAGGGGCACCCACAGGCTGGGAAGCGGAGAAGCTTTGGGGAGGGGCAGGACGGTGGTGGCCTGGCAAAGATAGGGAGGTGCGAGAGAGCGGGGCGAGGTCGGGGGATCAGCCTGTTGTGGCAGGGACAGTGCTGCACAGGGAGGGTTGAGGAGAGGCTGCGGCAGGAGGGTTGGGCAGGGCAGAGCTCAGGACAGAGCAGGGACAGTGGATGCCCACAGAGGCTCATGAGCAGGGAGTAGCAGGGACGGGGGCTTTCTCTCTCCAGGGAGTGTGCTGGGGAGGAAACACTTCTCCCTGTAGACCCCACACGTCTTGGTCTTTCAGGGCAGGGACCACATCCTAAAACTTCAGACCCTCACCTCATTTCCCTCCCCCAGCTTCACCCAGTGCAGCAGGACACCCAGGCCAGGGACTTAAAGTGCTAGAGGTGATTCTGTTAAGCATGGGAATATCTTTTGTGTGGCGCTGTTGAGCCCTGGTTGGGCCTGGAAAGGGGTGATGGAGACATGTGGCCACTGAACAAGGCTCAGTGGGCACAAATCCACAGGGTAGGGGCTGCAGTGGACTCAGAGCCAGGATCCCAGGTCTCGGCCATGTGGCCCTGAGCACACCCCTTTCCTATGCCAAGGCTCAGCCTCCCTTTCAGTAAATGGGTGCTCAGCACAACGCTGGGAGGACTCGCGCTCAGAGGCCTTGTGGAGTCTGGCAAGGACAGTACAGTCTGCTGCCAGCAAAGGGACCGTTTGTCCCCTTTAGACCTGCTCCCCCGCGAGGAGCCTCTAGCAGGCCTGAGATGGTTCCTCGAACTATGTCACTGGAAACGTGTTTCCAAGCATGTTCTCTCATTCCCCTCAATGCTCTTAAGAGTCAACAGGGGGACAGAGGAAGAGGAATCCCTGTCCTCAATCCCCAGCTCGGTGAGAACCCGTGTCCTGGTCTGGGTCACTCGGCAGGGGAGGGTGGGAGCTGGGATTCCCAGAGGCCCCTTGGCACTCACGGCTGACATAAGGCTGGTGCACCAGATGCACCTCTGAACCTTCTCCAAAGCCTTGGCCAGCACCTGAGTCTGGGTGTCAGGAGCCCTGCGCTCACCCGGAACTCTAGCATCGCTCCTGGCTTAGGTGACACTGAATGACAGAGGGGGGCGATGTCATCCCACGACCACATTTCATATATAAGGCTGCGTCTGAGCCACCTGGAGAGTGGCCCTCCTAATGGCTCTGAAGTCAGCTGCCCTGTGCGACAAGGCCATGTGACAGGGGACTGTGGGTGTCCTCTAGAAGCTGAGGGTATCCCCTGCCAGCAGCCAGCAAGAAAACAGGGACCTTAGTCCTTCAAACACAAGGAACTGAATGCTGCCAACAGTGTGAGTTTTGAGGAGGACCCTGACTTCCAGAAAGGAACACAGTCCCCTGACAGCTTACTGCGACCTTGCGAGTCCCTGAGCAGAGAATCCAGTAAGTAGCACTTAGACTCCCGACATGGGGAACTGCATGCTATCAAACCACTGCCCATGGCTTGGTTGTGTGGCCCAAGTCAGTCTCTGTGCCTCTCTGAGCCTGTACCCTGCTCTGTAAATCAAGATGTAAGGCTGGGCGTGGCGGCTCACACCTGTAATCCCAGCACTTTGGGAGGCCAAGGCAGGCAAATCACCTGAGGTCAGGAGTTCAAGATCAGTCTGGCTAACATCGTGAAACCCCATCTCTAATAAAAATACAAAATTAGCTAGGCGTGGTGGCGCATGCCTGTAATCCCAGCTATTTGGGAGGCTGAGGCAGGAGAATTGCTTAACTTGGGAGGCAGACGTTGCAGTGAGCCGAGATTGTGCCACTGCACTCCAGCCTGGGTGGCAGAGTAAGACTCCGTCTCAAAAAAATAAATCAGTAAAAATAAGTAAATCAAGGTGTAGTGCTATTCATAACTCCCAGGCCCAGGGCCCAGAGTCCCAGCACCCAGGTGGCCCCAAAGGAGCCAAGTAACACTTGCAAAGGCTGACTCACCCTGGCCCGGGAAGATGGCGAGATGTAGTAGTGGCTTTCGGAGTCTCCGAGCCGGATTCGGTGGCGGCAGGTGCGGGTCAGTCCGCTCAGGGCACATGTGCTGGGGGAAAGCAAAACGGGTCATGAGGGCTGGCTGGGGCTCGCCCCCGTCCCCCCACTCCTGCATGCAGGGAAGATGCAGCAGCCAAGAGGATGCATGGGAAGGGGCAGGCCTCCCTTCCCCCACCAGGCTTCCAAAGGAGCCCAGAGCCAGGCAGAGAAGGGAGCTGGCCCCAGCCGTCCCCGAGACAGACCTCGAACTAAGCTGAGCTCTACCCCAGAACCCTTGTTTTGCCCCTATTGGGCAAGATAATTGGTTAATCTCATACCAGGTGTACAGAGTCCCACCCTCTGCAGGCTCTGCAAATGCCTCTCCCTCCACTTCTGGGGACTCAGACCAGGCACTCTTCCCCCAGCTAGGCCAGGGTTGAGGTCTGGCTGCCTCCCCCTTCCCAACACTCAGCGGCTCCCCTGCTTTATCCATCCAGGCCTTCTGACCCCATTAACCCCCATGGTTCTCAGCCGTGTGCCAACCAACGCCATCTAAGAGCCTTCTCCCATACCCTCTTCTCTCCTCCCCCAGTCCCGCCTGACTGCGCTCAGCATCTTCAGCCACCCACACGCAGGGTCTCTGTGGGCCCTGAGCAACCCCCATCTGGGCCCCACTCCCCAAATCCGCTCTTCGCTGGCCATGATCTGCTCAGCTCTCTCTTCCTCACCCTCCGCTTGCTCACCAAGTCCCCAGGTCAGGGCACAGCAGCAGGGCTTTTGGCCTGCATCCCCTCGGCTCCTTCTGGCCAACTCTCTGCCTCATTGCTCTCTTTCTTCTCCACATCAGAGCCAGGGGCTCCTCCAAAAACCCACGTCTAACCCACCATCTTTCCCTCTTGCTTTCCTAATTCCCAAGACATAGGGAGAATCCCAAATAAAAGAAGGTTTAAAAAGCTCCTTGGCTGCAGGACTTATCAGAGCATTTGTTGCCTCCTGGTTCACTGGGACTCTGATAGACCGGAGAGCCTCTTTTCAGGTGGCAGCTACTGATGACATTTTTTCTTTTTTGAGGCAGGGTCTCACTCTGTCACCCAGACTGGAATGCAGTGGTGCGATCTCAGCTCACTGCAACCTCCGTCTCCCAGGCTCAAGCAATTCTTCTGACTCAGCCTCCGGAGTAGCTGAGATTACAGCCATGTGCCACCACACCTGGCTATCTTTTGTATTTTTAGTAGAGATGGGATTTTCTCCATGTTGGCCAGGCTGGTCTCGAACTTCTGACCTCAGGTGATCCACCAGTCTCAACCTCCCAGAGTGCAGGCGTGAGCCACTGCACCAGGCCTATTGATGACTTGCCGCACTGGCTGGTGGGTTAAAGCCCAAACCTGTGAAGGCTCTTTACACTCTGGCTCCAACAGCCTCTGCAGCCTCCACCCCAATTCCCTGTCCCCCCACTGCTTAGCCAGATGCCCCAGTGGTGCTTCTGTTAATACCCCAGCTTCTCATACCTTTGCACATTCTGTTCCCTCTGCCAGAAATGCCCTTCCCTGCTTGGCAAACTTCTATTAATCCTTCAAAACCTGGCTCAAATGCTCCCTCTCCATGATGAGCCTCCCATCAGGGCACCAGCCATCCCCAGCCAGCTCTTGGCTGCCAAGGTGAAAGCCTCCCCAATTTCTGCCCCTCGCTCCCCCTGGCTATTTTGTTCAGCTGCTCCCCTGCTCAATGCCAGGTGAGTAGCTGGAGGACAAATGCTAGGGCTACTGCATTATTTATTGGCGGGGCAGAGCCAGCAACTGACAATCATGGTTCAAGAAGAAGGGGAGGGCACAGGGCAGGCCAGTCAGGAAGAGGCAGACCCCAGCTCCCGGCCTCTCTGGAGAGCCTGCAGGTTCACAGGAAACCTGCCAAACTGCCTCCTTGCCCTGCGGGGGCAGCAACTGTCCCTGTCCTATTGGCGCTGCTGCATCCCGACCGCCCCTCGGTGCAGCGAGCACACAGCTTGGCGGAGCTTTCCTGCATGGGCAGGAAGGAGCTAAGACCCTCAGCTTACTTGGTGCTGCTGCACTCAACCTCGGCCACCTTCACTGCAGGTAGCGTCTGTGAAGCCACTGGCTCAATGGTGAGCGTGTTGTCCTCCACGGCGGCCCGTACCAGCGTTGAGAGCTGCGGCAGACCAGGGTGGCAGGCAGGGTGGTAAGGGGCTGGGCCCTGGCGGAGGGGCGGGTCCCCCAGCTGGCCCCGCCTCTGCCATGCCTCACCTCCTGCATGGTGAAGTCCAGGCAGGGGCCCACGTCCTCCCGGTGCACCCTTTCCAGGAAGGGGCAGGTCTTGTCCAGGGTTGGGGCTTCCCTCCAGGCCTGGAACTCTGCAAACAGGATTGTGTCCACCTGTGGGGGAGGGCAAGCGGGGTGGGGAGAGTCAGGGGACTAGGGCCAGCACAGAAGATGCAGGCTGAGCTGAAGGGGAGCGAGGGAGGGCGTGGGGCAGGCCCAGCAAGCCAGCAGGTCAGTCCCCAGCAGACATGCAGGGAAGCCAAGTCCAGCAACAGAAGAACTCACTCCTGCCCTTTGCACCAAAGAATTTAGAGCTACAAGTTTTGTTTCCAGGTCGGCGTTAAATTTCTTGGTGCAATAGGATTTTAGAGTGGGGTGCAGGGCTTTGTCCTGAAGACCGTCACTGCCTCCTTGAGGAGGAAAAGTCAAAGAGCAACTGGCAGGAGGCTACAGGTACCAGCAGGTACACAGGCACGTGCACACAGGAGGGGACACACACAGGCTGCCCTGGGCCCACGCCTCGGAGGCAACTGCTGGCCTACCCCAGGCTGCATGCAGAGGGAGGGAGGCTGGGAGGGGGCAAAGTGGGAGGCCCTTCTCTGGGGTCATTTACCTGTCGGGAAAAGGAGGGAGAGGGAGTGGAGGCGGGGGCTGGGGGCTCCCCAGGAGGGAGCTGCCAGGCCGGCTCGTAGGTGAGGTGAACCGCCTTGCTGGGGACCACGCAGAGGAGCAGGGAGAGCAGCGGGGCCAGCCCGGGCTGGGCCGGATGGACAGACAGATGGACGGACAGACAGGCAGACAGACAGGTAGACAGGTGCACAGAGACAGAACAGGAGGAAGGGGAGAAGTTAATGTACATTCAGAAGCTCAGAGCTCAGGAGGTGGATGAGGGCCTGCTCGTCTTCCCTGGAGGCCCTGGAGACAAAGGTGGAAGCCAGGATGGAGTTGAGTGGGCTGGCGCCAGGGACCCAGGAAGCTGAAGGCACCACAGCCCTCTGAGTGCAGCCCTGAACTCAGCTCTTGACGTCCCTGTCTCTTTGGTTCCTCCGGCAGCCCCAGGAGGCCCCATTTATCAGGTGAGGAAGCTGAGGTGCTGACAGGTGGCTGCATTTGCCTACGGACCATGACCATGAGTCCAGCCCAGCCTGGACCCAGCAACCAGTGTGGCCAGCTGAAGTGGGACGGAGACACCGTCCAAAGGCCACGCTTGTCTCCGCCCCACAGTCAGAGGGCGCCAGGAACCCCCTGAGCACAGGGCTGTAACCAGGTGGTCCTGGGGCTCAAGGCTGTGGCCACACGGGGTTCAGGCAGCCTCCCCCCTGAGGCCCGGTGGCTGCTGCTTGGCCTCTTAAGGCCAGGAAATGTGTGTCTCAGTGGAAGCCCCAGATCCTCAGGGCCAAAGCCAGGCTCAGGTGCAGAGACCACTACCTACTGCTTGGAGTCAGCGGGGCAGGGAGGGGGCCTCAGGTCCCCAGATGGTACACCCTGGAGGCTGCAGGCCAAGTGCCTCGGATCACAGGAGGTTGGAGAGAAAGGACCTGCCCAGCCCTCACATCCCAGAGAGGCGCAGGACAGGCTCCAGGTCACACAGCGTGGGGCAGGCTGGTCCTCACTGGGCTGTGGCCCTGCCTACCACAGGCGCTGCCACCCTTGCCCGTGCCCAGAGCCCGCCTCCCGCCCTCACCTCCTTGCCCTCTCTGTCTGGGGTGAGGGTGTGTCCCACGGCGGGGCACACGGCGGGGCAGAGGGCGCTGCTGGTGCTCTTGTGGCGAGAGTGGCCCTTTCGGGGCCCAGCCTTGGTGGGGCTCAGCAGCTGGGGGTGAAGCTCGCGGTTGGGAGAGGCTGGTGTGGACGTGATGACCAGCGTCTTCAAGGCTGTCACCTCTGCCTGCAGCATGTCGATCTGCATGGGATGGGATGGCTGTCAACCCTCACCCACGCTGGATGCCATCCTGGCTGCCACCGCCTATCAGCCCAACTCAGGACAATGCACTCCTGCAGCGATGAGCACCTAGTCCCTCCCGACGCCCTCAGAACGGCCTTCGAGGCAGAGACCCAGACACTCATTTTACACATAGGGAAACTGAGGCTCACAGAGGCGACATGGTCTGCCCAAGGTCATGCTGTGAGCAGGATTCTGTTAGGAACAAGTGTCTGGGAGTTGGCTAGGCCTCCCATGAGAGTTCTGGGGGGCCCCAGGAGCCAGGAAAGGCCCAGGCCTCACATTTTGCAGATGGGCAACCAGACTTGGAGAGAGGAAGCAACTTGCCCAGGCTCAGACAGCCACACTGAGTGAGGTTTCTGCTTTGTGAAGTGGGGCTGGGAGGACGAGGAAGAAGGTACAATAATCACAGGGTCCTCCCAGCCCCAGCACGGCCCCAGAAAAGGCTCTGCCGTGTAGCAGAATCACTGATGGAGTCCTGGGGCCCTGGGCCCTGTGATCTCAGACCCCCACCCTTCCCTTCCCTCCCTGCGTTCACCCATTCCTGCTGGCCCCACTGGGCCCGGCGAGCGTCCACTCAGGCAGCGAAGCTCACTGTTCGCTGAGCCGGGAGGCAGGGCGGGTGCCTGGGCTGGCCTGGGCAGGCAGGGACGGGCCTCACCTTGCCCCGAGCCTCCTTCAGCTGCTTTTCTGATGCCGCCTGCTTCATGTTGGCTTCTCGAACCATCTTGTGAGCTTCCTAGGAAGAAGGCAGTCCCTGTGTGAGTGGTGAGGAGCTGATGGACGCCTAGGTGACCCATTCCCCAAGTTGTTCCTGCTGCTCAGCCCGTGTACCTCGAACAGGCTGGCCGTCAGCTCCTCTAGCTCCTGTTCTAGCTGCTCCCGCACCTTGGAGAGCCGCTCACATTCCTCGTCCTTTAGCTTCAGCTCCTGGAGGAAAAGATGCAGGCACTCGAGCCCCTCAGCATCCCCAGGCCTGGCATGGGAGGGACCAGGCCCACCTGACCAGGCTCCATCCCCTGGTCATTTTATGTGGGGCCCAGAGCTTACTTCCTCTGGTGCCTGACAGTTTATGACGCTTTTTCTGTTTAGCCGCAGCATGAAGCTGAAGCCCTTCCTGCCAGTTCATCAGAGCTCAGGGCAGGTTTGCAGTCAAGACAGGTGACCATCGGTGTGCCCAGCGCAGGCCTGGCCTGCAGTTGGCCTCAGCGAGGGCACATCCTTCTCCTTTGGGCACATCTCTGGGCACCTGATGAGAGCCCACAGCTCTCCCAAGCTGACTTCTTTCCACTGAAGCCCCCCAAGCCTGCTACAGGCACCCACCTTCTGCGCTCTGTGCAGCTCCTCCTTCAGGAACTCGGAGCCCTTCTCTCGGATCTCCATGGAAGAGCTGCGCAGGCGCAACACGTCCAGCTGGGTGGTTGCAGGGCCCTCCTGGCCTTGGGCCTCCTCCCCTGCAGAGGTCTCCACCAGGGCTCCTGGGGACTCCCTGTGGCCTTGGCAGGGGTCCGTGCTCTTCCAGGGGACCGGGACAGCTGCAAGGGGTGGCGGGAGGCCCTGGTCTGGCTGCGGTGGGCTGGAGACAAACAAGGGCATCCGCAGGTTCAGGGTGGGGTCCTGAGGCCTGGAGAGCTGAGCCCAGAAACCACCCCGGGACAATGTGCCTACCACTTGAGCCTCAGCCTTTCCATCTGAAAACTGGGACACTACCAGCTATCATCAGGGTTGTTACAAGGGCAAATGTCCAAGCACAAAGTCTCCTGGGGCAAGAGGCTCATTCCTCTTTGTCAACCACCCCCTCCAGCCCAGGGCTGAGGGCTGTGTTTGGCACATGCAGTAGGTGTTCAGCACACAGCAGGTGGTCAGCCTGTTTGTCTAACGGACGACTGTAAATGCATCAGGCGTGAGTCCCACTTGTATAAAGTGAAGCCTATTCCGATGGCCCTACCTCGAAGGCCACCGAATGATCATAGGAGGTGTGCGTAAAACCTTGGCACCTCGGATGCACTCAAGCAGGAGCTGCCTTCACTGATACAGTTAATGCGAAACCTGCCCCTTTCAGGGTGGACCAGAGAGGAAGGATGAGGCCAGGGCAGGCAGGGCTGAGGCAGGAAGATTCTGCAAACATCTTAGGCAAGACAGACCTACTTCCTGTCCCCCTGGACTTGGTGGGGAGCAGTCCCAGCTCTCCCCTGGCCTGCCTTGTGACCTCAGGCAAACACCCACTTCTCTGGGCCTCAGGACCCTCCCTTCCCTGAAGCTGAAGACCCTGAAGGTGGTGTGGGGCCTCACTCCCCACCATCTACACTCCCCACTCCAAAGTGGACCCTGGAGAGGGAAGGGAGGGCGAAGGCCCGGCCAGCGGTGTTTTGTGCCAAGACAGCACCTCTGGACTCGCTCACTCAGCAAAAGCTGGAGGCTCCTGAGCCAGCAGCTTCTGAGCCGCAGCAGCCAGGGCTGGGGCTGGGGGGCTGGGCAGGCCGCTGATATCAGTGAGGGAAGTTGGGGGGAGGGGCTCAGGGAGGCTGCACCAGACGGGGAAGGCAAGGCCAAGGAGAATGTGGGACTCAGGACAGCTGAGGCAGAGGGAGGAGTGAGAGGCAAGTCTGTGGACCAGTCTCCCCTCCCTGTCCTCAGGACCTTGGGAAGGTCACCAAGCAGCCCCTGAGCCTCAGTTTCTCCCTTGGTTAACACACAGAAAATGGGTCCCCAGAGACTCCAGCAAGAGCCCACTTCCAGCAGTGAGTCCCTTCACACAGATCCGTCCAGCTGCCCGGCTCCACCTGCCCTCCGCTCTGGCTCCTCAAGCTGGGTCCCGCCTGACAGGGATGTGGGTTTGAGAATTAAGGTGGAGACACATATCCATCACTCCATCAACAGTGTCTATGCCAGGCAGGGTTCTCTCCTAATACTCTTGTTTGGGGAAGTCTTATTGGCAACGGTCCCCCGCAGCCTGAGAGCTATAGTGGTGCCCTGGGCTGGGGTCTGTGCCCTGGGGACTCACACTGCCAGACTCTACACAGGTCTCTAACCACGCTGTCTCCTTTAAAATTCTCTCAACAGCCGCCAGGCACAGTGGCTCACGCCTGTAATCCCAGCACTTTGGGAGGCTGAGGCCGGTGGATCACCTGAGGTCAGGAGTTCGAGACCAGCCTGGCTAACATGGTGAAACCCCGTCTCTGCTAAAAACACAAAAATTAGCCGGGCCGAGATTGTGCCACTGCACTCCAGCCTGGGCGACAGAGCAAAACTGTCTCAAAACAAACAAACAAACAAACAAATAAACAAAAAACTCTCTGATCGGCACTCGTGGCATCATTCCGTTCTACAGATGAGGGGACAGAGGCTCACAAAGTGAAGGCATTTGCTGGGGGTCATGTGGCTGCTCAGTGACAGTGCTGGGACAGCTGGCCAGGTCTTCAGCCCAGGCCCAAAGCTTCCCCACTGCAGGGGAAGGGCAGGTGGGCGGGGAGTGTGAGTGTCGGAATTGGCACATCTGCTTCAAGATGAAGGGCTGCTGGGCCCAGGGGGACTCGGAGGCTCCTCTTTGGCTGCAGTAGGGAAATCTGACCCACTTCTGGCCTGAACTGGCTTCTCAGACTCTGCGCAGGCCCAGAAACCCCCTTTCCAGAAGGGAAGGCCTGGGCAGGGGGAGTTGTGGCAGAGAGAACAGGCCAGATGGGGCAAGCCTGGGGTCCACGTCAGCCTCTGACCTGGGGTACACATGAGCCCCTGGGAATGCTACTGAAATGCTCTGAACCTGCTTCCGCACCTGAGGGAGAGGAGCTGAAATCCTGCAGGAGGGGCTCTAAGAATCAAGAGCTCTAAGAGCAGTCCCAACCGGGCGCTGGGTGAATCGTGTTCAATCCACAGCCATGTTTGGCTGAGACGCCCACGAAGCCTGCCTGGCCTCTGGGTCCTGCGGCTTAAACTGGAGGCCTGGGGACCCCTGCCAACAAGACTTCCCCAAACGAGGGGTTAGGAGAGAGCCCTGTGTGGCATAGACACTGTCGATGGAGAGAGAGAGATGTGTCCCCACCTTAATCATCACGGCCCAAGCCCTCAGGTAGGACAGGATGGCCATAGTCACTCAGGCTGGGCTGGAGGCTGCTCACTGCAGGCCAAGGGCAAGAGGCGACAGCACAGGACAGGACAGAAGACTCACCATTGCCTACGCCCTGACCGAGGAGAAGCAGACTGCAGGCCCTCCCATGGGGGCCGAGCTTCATCCACCAGTGTGGTCTGGGCCTCTGGCCACAGTGAAAGACTAACTCTCTCTCCTGCTGGTCCCAAGCACATGGGCTGGAGGTGTGGCTGGCTGTCCTCGCCATTTTCCCAACAGGCACTCACTTTTGCCTTGTGGGGCGGAGTGGGACAGGGCCCAATTTTGCAGCCAGAGGAAACAGTGCTCCAGGAGGCCTGAGACAGAGTCTGTGACACCCTTCCCATCCCCCTCAGTAGAAGAGCCCAAAGCCCAATCCTAATGGCAGGAAGTGTGGGACATGGGAACAGTGGGACCACCCGGTAGCCACCAACTCCCCAACGCCAAAGGTGGCAGGAGCAGGAGGGGAAGAAGGGCCTGACCTACCCTTGGAGGGTAGCTGGAATCTGCAGACCTTCCTCCCCCTCATTTCTGGGCTGCAAGGCCCACTCCTGAGACTCCGAAATTTCAAAGCAGGGACCCTGGGCTCCTCAGGTCCAGCCGAAGCCAGAATCTCCGATCTCACACATACTTCGGCCTCCCAGACCAGAGGCCTGAAAACTCGGCTGTGAACACCCAAGTCAGTGGTGAACTCAGTCCTGGGACAAGCAGGGACCACTTAGGGTTCTGCTGCCCAACGTCCCTACCCTCCTCAGTCCCGGTCCACCGCTCTCTGTACAAACCTCCTCAGTCCCCGTTCCCTGCGGAAACAGAGCCTGGCATCTGAGATGAGCCACAGATGCCTCTGGAAAGGGGCCTGCTCAGAGGGTACGAGTCAAGGTCAGACGTAGATGGGGCAGCCAACGTCCCCCATCCCAGAGCCAGCTCCCACCGCCGAGAGGCCCCCGGGCAGTTCACACAGGAGAGGCCCCCTAGGTCACTTCCCCAGGAAACACACAGCTAAGAGAAAACGCAGCAACCACAATCCTCACCCCACCAGGCCCGCCCTAGGACGGCCGGCAGGGCTCTTGCCCCGACCCACAAAATAAGAAGGAGACCTAGACTCCGCGGCCCTCAGCATCTCCCTGAGCCAGCAGGGCCAGACCAGCCTATCCCTCAACCAGTGCCCAAGATGACCCTGTCCAGTTACCTCCTGGAACTAAAGACCTCTGTTGGTCATGCGCACAGTGGATTCATTAAATAAGCAGGGGAGGGGACAGCACAGGTGGCTCTGAAACTGGGCCGAGAAGAGGGCTGGGAGGGCACACTGGGACCACTCAGCGTGCTGCCAGGGCCCAGGCCTCTAGGGAGGCTGCAGAAACCCCAACCCAGGGCCTGGCTCCTGGGGGCAGTGCCATGGCACAGGGGCCTATTCAGACTCACGCTCTGCCTGTGCAGTGAGGCTGAGGGGATGGAGGCTGACAGCCATGTGACTCATACCCAGGGACCAAGGGAGTCCCAGGAAAGGGTTGGTGGGCTAGCTCTCAGGCCTGCCTGCAAGGCCAGCAAAGCTCAGCTCCCCTAAAGAGCAGCCAAGTCTTCAGCCCCCAACACACAAGCATGTCAGGTTCCCAAGCGCTTGGCCACATCCGCACCAGCACACCACTCCACAGGTGCCGTGGCCTGGAAGCTCGGGACAATTGCAGGGAGATGTGCTCCTCCACCTGGTTTCCAGATGAGGCCCCTGAGGTTCAGAGAGGGATGGTAACCTGGCCCGAAAACACAGCAAGGAAGCGGCAGGATGGGAACTGAACTCAGAGTACAGGCATAGCGCATCACGTGGCCTGTCACCCAGAGGAAACGGGATGAATGGCGGTTTCGGAGAAGTGAGGCAGGAGGCAGATGGGGTTTGAGGAAGTCTGAGACAGTGCCCAAGTACTAGGGGTGCCACCCAAGACTGCTGTACAGCCAGGCAGGACCTGGGCTAGGAGGGGACAGCAGAGGGGACACACAGAAACAAAAGATGGGAAGGGGGAATTGTGGGAGGACCAGCAGCTGGATAGGGGGCAGGAAAAAGCAGTAATTAATTAAGATAATTCAAAACTAAGGAAAAGGTGAAAGTTGAGAACAGTGGTGCCCATGCTGGGAATGAGGAACTGGGAGGGGGTCTTTCAGGGACAGGAAAGTGGGTGGCTGAGGCATTTGGGAAGTGGCATGTCCCGTAGGCAGCTGAGGGGGAATAGGCAGGATGGGGTGACGCTGTCGAGTGGCACTGGCTTGGGAAAGCAGCCGCAACCTGAGCCTGGATGACGGGCTGTCAGCGGAGACAAGGGCTTGACAGCTAGCCGGAAGAACAGACAAGAGTGTTGGACACTGGAGCTGAAGAGTGTCCAGGACCCGGGGATGAAAGAGATCGTCATGAGTCTCACTGAGTTGAGCCAGGATCCAATGAGCTCAAAGCAAGGAGGGGACAAACAGACAGGTGGGAACCAAGGCGGGCCTGGGCCACAGGGGAAGGGGGAGCCAGAGTGGGCAGAAGGGCACAACAGCACGTCCTAGTAGAGACCATGGTGGAGGGGGAGAGGAGGTCAGGAGCAGCGGGGGATGGGAAGCAGACCAGAACATCCAAAGCAGGTGAGTCAGGCCGCCAGGCCAGCCTAGTCCAGCCCTGGCAGGGGAATCCAGCCCTGTCTCTCCACGGGAGCCAGCACAGGGCCTAGGTGGGGGCGCATCTCACTACTCTTCGGCTACAGGGCCGGGCATGCAGTACATCCTCAAATCTGCCTGTGGCGACCCTGCCCATTCAGTCCAAGAATTGACACCAAAGGCCTCCAACAGCTAGCGTGTATACTGAGCACCCATTATGTGCCAGGCACCCCACCAGCCGTGATCCATCCAGTCTGCACAACCAGGCGGCCCCCTTCTTACCACATCCTATTTTGGTTTGCATCTCCCTCCCGCTACCTCATTTCCCAAGACCTACTGGGCATAAATCCTGTGCAGAGCTCGGAGGGTCTAGGACAAGCAGGATTCTAATGAGGATGTCTGCCCCCGACACCCATGTCCTGATTACGGAACAGCAGGAAAGATCTCCACCTGTTGAGGGGTAGGGCAGGCAGTTAGATCATGGAGGGCTTCCAGGGAGCAGCAACAGTGAGGGTTATACAACCCCTTCCCAACGAAGAGGCCTGCGTGTCTGACCCTGGAGCCCTCGAGCCATACTTCAGACTCTGTCTCATGGCCTCTAGTCCCCCGTGACTTAGGCCTTACAGGCAGGAGCTCACAGATCCATGCCCTTAGAATAGCCAAGGCCCAGGGCAGGGAAGTGACTTGCTCAGGATCACACAGCCAGTTGATGGCCCCCGAAGCTCTGCCTGCCGCATAAACATGCTCCCCAGCTCCTGGGAGGCTGGAGTGGTCTCATCTCACTCCTGAGCCACCCATCAACGCCTGGCCCGCTCTAGCCATAGGCATGATAAGCCCCGTCTCTGGGGAAACTGAGACCGGGGGTGGGGGGTGGGGAGCTACAACAGTGTCATGTGGGAACTCAAACGCTGGCCAAGTCCCAAGTGCCCAGCACTGTGTTAGATACAGAAGTACTCAAGACGCTGTCCTCACCTCGTCACCTTGGAGCAGGCTTGGCACCCAAAACTATGAATGTGTGAAACTGTGGGGAATTGGAAGGGGAGCAGCCCAGTTTGGGGAGCACCTAAAGTCAGACTGGAGCTGCCTCTGGGTTTGGAGTTCAGGGCCCAGGCTCAGGAGTCCCAAGGAGGAGAACTCACCCAGGCTGCTGCAGAGTCCAGCCACTGCCGCCCACCCCAGAAGAGCAGCCCAGGGCTGGGGCCATGACCAGGACCCGGCCATTAACAAAGCACAGCCACCAAGAGACAGAGCTCAGTTCATTTCACAGGTGAGGAAACCAAGCCCAGAAACATCACTGACCCCGCCCGGGTCACCGACTCTTAATCCCAGCTCCTCCTATTCTAGATCAGCAGTTCCAAATATACACCTGCCAGAGCTGTCATCAGCTTGGTCACTCACCTGGCAAGTATGACTCTGAACAGGACCCCTCCCAACTGCTGCTGGGGTCTGGGTGAGCTCCTAGGACACCAAGCACCCAGTGGGGGCTGGCGGCTTGGCCCCTGACTCTAAATTCCTGTTTCCACACCCATATAGGGGGCCATTGAAATACAGAGCTCAAGGTAACCCCCAAGCTCTGCCTCACCCCTTCCCCCAGCTCCTCACTGCCCCTCATCCTTTCCATCTGCATTTATGAAGCACCTATTATGATACGAGCCCAGCACCCAGCTAGGCCCCCAGGGGTGCAGGGGTGCATGCAGGAAGTGAGCCACATTGAGGATTCTGTGGGGGTCAGCCTGGCAGCTGGCTCATCCAGAGTGGTGCTGGGAATATGGCAGGGGGCTGGATCGGGGGGAGGGGTCCTTGCCCAGGATTTAAGGCTCTCTGACTCTCCTCGAAGCAACCATCCACCTACTCGTGGCTCTCAGCTGTGTCTGGCCTTGGCCTGGATGCCTCCAGGGAAGGACATTCTCTGACCTGAGATCATTCCCACCCCCAGAAACCACTTATTTTACCTAGAGGCCCAGAGAAGGAAGTCCACATTCTCAAGGTCACACAGCAACTAACTCAGTGGCTGTGTCGCCTGAGTCCACCCAGCACAAGACACAGGCTTCCTGCAGAGGAAGCTACTCCCCAAACACAATTCACCCCAGGCAGGACTGCCCTAACCTCTCCAGGTATCACAAACCCACATCAAGCACTTTCTCCTAAGCCAGCCTCCTTTCTCCCAGCACAATGCCAACGAATACACTGGTGGCCTTCAACTCTCTCCCTTTAAGAGTCTCAAGCCTTAGGGCTGGGCGTGGTGGTGAAAGCCTGTAATTCTAGCACTTTGGGAGGCTAAGGCGGGTGGATCACCTAAGGTCAGGAGTTCGAGACCAGCCCAGTCAATATTATGAAACCCTGTCTCTACTAAAAATACAAAAATTAGCCAGGTGTGGTGGTGTGCACCTGTAGTCCCAGCTACTCAGGAGGCTGAGACAGGTGAATTGCTTGTACTCGGGCGGCGGAGGTTGCAGTGAGCTGAGATCTCGCCACTGCACTCCAGCCTAGGTGACAGAGAAAGACTCCGTCTCAAAAAAAAAAAAAAAAAAAAAAGTCCCAAGCCTCTCCACACCTCACCCCTACCAGGAGCCCACTCTCTTCTGCAACCCCTGCTGGGGATGAAAGGCCATCTCTCCCCTAGCATCGCAGCTCAACCTTTGCTAGGTGCCATGGAGTGAAGTGGATCCTGCCTGCCCTTCCAGGGGGGGCTTCGCTCACTCCCCAGCTGTAGCTGGGCAGTAGCCCTCTCCTGGGACCACTCATCTGACCCAGGGGGCACAGGAATACAACCTGTCACCCATTCGGGCCCCATTTCCTCCAGGACCTGGTCTTTCCAGGCCACTGGGGAGTGTTTGCCCAACTCCACAAAAACACAACCTTTCTGCACATACAGGGCGGGGGTGCCACATCAGATGGGCCAGGAACTGCAATTGCCCTGAGAACCAATGGCCTGAACAGACATAGCCACTGGGGCCACTAATCCAGAACCCGGAATCTGTGCTACCCCACTCCAGGCTGCAGGGCGATCCCACTCCACACCTCTGAGAGCCTCCGCACTTCGGGAGCCCCAAAAGGAGGTTCTGCCCTCAACTTGGGAGCCGCCCTGGCAGAGACCCAGCCCCTCTTTCCCAGCTACACCGCTTTCCAAGAGTTCATCCAGCCGAGGGGGTTGAGGGACGGGTTGCGAGGGTGGACTGGGGGTCTCTCCTCTAGGTGCATGCCCCAGAGTCGTGCACACTCTTCCCCATACCCCGACTCTTCTCACTTGCGCTCCTGATGATCTAGGAGGAGTTGACGCTGTCACCCCGGGACGGTCGGCTGCCCACCCTTCGCATCCTGCACCCCGAGAGAGACTCCCGACCCCTCCCCCGGAGTCTCCCGGCTGCAAGTCGGCTCGCCTGCAGGCAGGGCGGGGGCGCACAGCACCTCCGGGTGGCGGCGCAGATCCGGCGGGGACCCCCCTAATCATTCTGTCCCGGGAGGCAGCCGCGGCCCAGACCCGGCGCGGGACCGCGAGCGCGCGCGGACCTACCCGCTCCACATCCCGGCGCCTCGGGGCGCCCGGGCGTTTGTTCCCAGCGCCGCCGCCGCGTCCTCCCCGCGCCGCGTCCCCGCCCGCCGCCGACTCCTCCCGGGGCCGAGCCGCCCCACCGCCTGTCAGCCCAGCCCGCGGCCGGTCAGTAGGTCTCAGCTGCCTGGACTCGCGGCCCCCAGCCCAGCCCCGACCCTGCCCTGGGCGGGTCACGTGGCGGAGGGGGGCGGCCCGAGGACACGTGCCCGGCCCCGCCCCTCGCCGGTCGGTAGCTGGGATCGGGCGCGCGCTCCCAGGGCCCGGCCCCACCCGGCCCGCCGCGCTGGGACAGGGAGACCGCGGCGCGGGGAAGTAACCCGGCCCCCAACATCCCACGGCCCCCGCCGCGCTCAGACTCCCTAGCTGACTCGTCCTCTCCAATCGCCCTCTGCACCACCCACTTTGGGCCACCCCTGCTCAAGAACCTACAATGGCTCCCGGGCTCTCAGCTCTTGGATTCTCACACAGATTGTCACTTAAGGCCAGCAGACACCCTCCCCCATCCTCACCGGCACTCCTTCCCTAGTCTATCTGCTTAGTGCCTGCCCCTGTGCAACATCCTGCCTGCTGGGAAGGGGAGGGGACAAACCCGAAACAAGTTTTCTGAGTCCTACTCTCTGAGTTTTATCCTGAAGGAGTTTCTACTTCTGGTCCAACTCTCCTCACCCAGCCTCCTGCCTCTTAACACACTGTGCCCATCCCTGCCTTTACCCACCATCTGCCCTCTGGATAGTATTCCCCACCCCACCCCCACCAACACACACACATACGCACACCTGTCTGGTTCCACATCCTCCGTGAAACCTTCCCCTGAATCCCAGACCACTGGTCTACCTGTCCCTCAGTTCCTCTGTCCCGCCCATTCTGAGTCCTGATCATCGGTCTCAACTTCAGCCTGGGACTGGACCAGTAAGAGCAGAACCCCTCTTCTCTCCCACCAGGAACCATGGCTCCCACCTTCCCTGTCTGGGGGAGGACTGGGAGCTTGGGGGGAGGTACTTCCCCTTCTAGGTGCTACCAGAGGTCCTAGTGCTGAACCCCTCCAGGCCCACTGACTCAGACCCCAGGCTCAAGTTAGTCAGATCTTCATTTGAGGACACATTTTATTCATTCATTCAGCTCATTCATACGTTCAGCCACTCCATCTGAGCATAGACGATGGGCCATGCAAGGGCTGGCGACCCAGAAGGAAACTGTACAGACATAGACTCTGCCCTCCTGGGGCTCCACGATGGAGGATAGAGGATGAGGGAGGTATTCTCTAAGACCTCCATGTCCAGGGTACAAATAGACAACAATGCTCTTTCCCCACTGGCCATAGTGCACACCAAGGTACGGAATCTGGAGAGTGGAGGCGAGGCTGGATTCTATGCCTTGCTTGCTCCCTTGGCCAGCATTTTGTGCAGTGAACAACCTCGGCAGTTCTCCATAGCATCCCTTCCAACTTTCTAGAATCGTTCAGCCCAGGCGTCCCATAGCCACCACGCAGCAGGGCAGCTGTTTCCATGGCCATGGCTTCCAGAGGGCAGGGATTCTCTCTTTCTTGGAGCTGTGTTCCCTCACCCCGCCCCCAGCCCAGCTCAGGGTCTGGCCCACCCAAAGCAGATGTCCACATGTGTTTGCTGGCTTGAATCCCTCATCAGTAGGTCTTGAGCAACTGTTGTCTTCCTGGCCCTTGTTTTGTTCACTATTTAGAGAAGGAGGAGAAAATGACACAAAAGGAACCCAGCACAGGGCCCTTGCCCTCCAAGTCTTCACAAGCACCGGGAGGAGATAAGTCATGGCAACCCAGACCAGTGGGAGATAAAGCGGGTGGAGGCGTCAGCTCAGGGCTATGTCCCTGGAGGAAGAGTCCTCAGCCTGGGACAGCTGGTGGACCGGGGAGGCCCTTGAGCGAGGTCTCGAAGGACAAGTGTGTGGTCACCACTCAGAAAGCACCGACACTCAATTTATAGCCAAAAATAGCCTGTCATCCATGCTTCCTGCTACCATGGACTCCTAGGCCTCACTGCCTCCCCCAGTAGGGAGGACCCTACTGCTCAGCTGAACTTGCTCCTCAGCCGAAAAGGATGGGCTCAGAGAAGTTAAGGAACTTGCCAGATATCACACAGCCAGGGGCAGTGGGGCTGAGTCCTCTTATACCAGTTTTCCAAAAAGACCATCCAGAAACTAGAAGCTCACTGGCAGCTGCAGCTGTGTGCAGCCAGGCAGCAAGAGGTTCCTGAGCACAGGCTATAGGTGTCTGGCCAGTGGCAGGGAAGGGAGAAATAAAAGTTGTGTCCGGGCCAGGTGCAGTGGCTCACGTCTGTAATCCCAGCACTTTGGGAGGCCAGGGCAGGCGGATCACCTGAGGTCGGGAGTTCGAGACCAGCCTAACCAACATGAAGAAACCCTGTCTCTATTAAAAAATACAAAATTAGCTGGGCATGGTGGTGCATGCCTGTACTCCCAGCTGCTCAGGAGGCTGAAGCAGGAGAATCGCTTGAACCCGGGAGGCAGAGGTTGCTGTAAGCCGAGATCGCACCATTGCACTCCAGCCTGGGCAACAAGAGCGAAACTCCATCTCAAAAAAAAAAAAAAGGTTGTGTCCTCTGCCCACAAGCCACTGCCCTCCTGAGCCTCCCTCCCTCTATCCCCCTCTGCCTGCTACATCCCAAGCCTGACAGCCTTGACCACAGACCCTTGGCTGAAGGCAGCTGAGGAGTAGGAGACAGTCAGCCTGGATGACCCAGGCCCTGATTCTGGACTTACAGGTCTGACCTCAGCTCACTGTGTGACCCAGGACAAGTGTCTTGCCCTATCTGAGCTTCAGTCTCCACCTCTCTACAGCCACCAAATTGGACAAGACAGTCAGAGCCATTCCCTAGGACTCTCTGAGCCCAGCTTCTCACACCGGCTGCCCTGAAGCTCGCCAAGATTCCCCTTCCCCTCCATGCCGCAGGTCCTGAGCTCACCTGTCTGTGTCCCAGGGCTCTTCTCTCAAGCTCCCCTCAAGTGCAGGGCACAGGCCTAATGGGGCGTAGCGGACAGCCCCTGCACTCATGGCCAGGAACACGGGGCATGTCCCTCGGGCGGGGCACGTGGCGTGCTCCTCAGAAGAGTCCATGCTTGGAAGGCCAGACTGAGGGTCCCTCTGGAGGGTGCTGGGCAGGGAGGTAGCAGGAGCCTTCCCCCCACTAGGCTGGGCCTCACACTAACCTTTGCTATCTCCTCAGAGCAGCAGCCTGGGAGGGAGGCACCACCTCCCAGGACAGCCGCTATCTCCTTCAGCCCCGTAATTATTAACTCCTGTGACTCCTCAGGCAGCAGAAGACACTGGGCCCTCCTTCCTGGGCTCTGGGCCAGGGGAGATGCGACACCTCAAGAGGAGGCCCCGTGTTTCAGCCAGGCTCCCACATGGTCTGCTTGTCCCCTTGCCACACAGGCTGGGGCGTTGGAAAGTGCCTGTCCAGCCTTGACCCTGTCATAGCTGTCATAGCTGGTTGTGGAGCCCTGACAGGCCCTCCTGCCTGTGACCACAAGCCTGAATATCCCCTTAAAACTTTGTTATTGGCCGGGCACGGAGACTCACGCCTGTAATCCCAGCACTTTGGGAGGCTGAGGCGGGCAGATCACCTGAAGTCAGCAGTTCAAGACCAGCCTGACCAACATGGTGAAACCATGTCTCTACTAAAAATACAAAATTAGCCAGGCATGGTGGCGCATGCCTGTAATCCCAGCTACTTGAGAGCCGGAGGCAGGAGAATTGCTTGAACCTGGGAGGCGGAGGTTGCGGTGAGCCGAGATCGCACCATTGCATTCCAGCCTAGGCAATAAGAGCGAAACTCCGTCTCAAAAAACAAAACAAACAAACAAAAAAACTTTTTATTTTTATATTCTTTTTCTTAGATTTGAGATTCCTAGTTTTGTCTTTTTTTTTATTTTTTTTATTTTTCAAGGCAGGGTCTCACTCTGTCACCCAGACTGGAAGGCGGCCTCAAACTCCCCGGCTCAAGCCATCCTCCCACCTCAGCCTCCTGAGCAGCTGGGACTCCAGGCATGTGTCACCATGCTTGGCTAATTTTTAATTTTGTTTTGTTTTGTTTTGTTTGGAGAGACGGGGTCTTGCTACCCTTAAAACTTTTCACCACCACCACCCAGGAACAACTCAGTAGTAGCAGCCGGGAACACAGGCCTGGGGTCAGACAGGCTGGATTCAACCCCACTTTCAGACGGTGTGCCTTTGAGCACGTTAGCCTCTCTGTGCCTCAGTTTCTCCAACTATGAAATGGATTCTCACCCTCCGAAGCACACCAGGCCAGTTGCCACTGCCCAGATGTGCCCATTCCTCTTCTTTCCACATACTATCCCACCTGTCTGCAATCTCCACTGCATCCTGCCTCTGCTGGTAAGTTTTTCTTTTGTTCACACCCCCTCCTCTAGGAAGCCCTCCCCTGTGGGTTACTTTTTTCCTCTGCAGACACCAGAGCCCTCAGACACATGGTTAGCCCTGCACATGACAAACACCCCATGGAACTGTTGGACACTCCTGCAAGAACTGAGTGGCCCTCTGGGCAGAGGCTGGGCCATCCTCGTCACCCTTCTCAGTGTCCCCTTGCCTGGTACACAGACCCCATCCATCTGTGGGATGGTGTGAATGTGCCACCCGTCTTCATTTGGCCCGAATTCTCATCCTAGTTCTGCCACTCGCTGGCTGTGTGGCTTCAAGCAAGTCACTTAACCTCTCTGGGACTCAGTTTCCTCATCTATATAACATCGGAACAGTTCTCCCCTGTGAAGTAGTGAGTATTAAAGCAGATAACATTTGTGGCCAGGTGCAGTGGCTCACGCCTGTAATCCCAGCACTTTGGGAGGCCGAGGTGGGAGGATCACTTGAGCCCGGGAGTTCAAGACCAACCTAGGCAACAAACCGAGACCTCATCTCTATTATTAAAAACAAACCAAAAAACCTGTCTCTACTAAAAACACAAAATATTAGACAGGTGTGGTGGAGGCCACCTGTAGTCCCAGCTACTTGGGAGGCTGAGGCAGCCAAGAATGGCATGAACCTGGGAGGCAGAGCTTGCAGTGAGCCGAGATCGCACTACTGCACTCCAGCCTGGGCGACAGAGTGAGACTCCGTTTCCAAAAAAAAAAAAAGGTTTAAAAAAAGAAGACAGCCATGGGGGTTGACTCATGCCTGTAATCCCAGCACTCTAGGAGGCCAAGGC